CAAGGCCTAAAACAGAGCTAAATACTCAGGGCTGCTCAGTCAATACTTGCTAACATATCAAGGGGAATTTAAATAGACTTATGAAGCTAGTTTATCTTCAACCTAGTTTAGAGTCGGGTGTCTGTCCAGCTCTGTCCACCTCAATCTGAAGTTCCTACGCTACACAGGGTTACAGGCATGTTAGTGGCATGCACTAGATTGCCTGGATTCAAGTACCATCTCTGTTACCAATCATTAGAGTTGTGCAAAAATAGCCTAACCTCTCTGTGCCTCAGATTTAGCATATATAATAGTGCCCAATTAATGGTATTTTTAAGGATTAAATCCACACACACACACACACACACACACACACGAGCAATGACCTCTGCTAGCACTTTTGTCTGGCAGAAAGCTGCCCCTCCAGCTCAGCCACAATCATGAGCTGTTTTTTACAGCCAGAAGTTGTGGGGACTTATCTTCCCCATCCTGGAACCCGGGGCAGGGCTGGGGGGAGGGGCTGATGTGGGACTGAGACCCCTCACTCCTCAGGGAAACCTCCACAACCAAGATATCCTTCCGATTTTTTTGTAAATTCTCAATGGAAGATATGTTTTCCATTGATCTTTACAGAGAGGAGGGAGAGAGAGAGAAACATCGAGGTGAGAGACACATCTATTGGTTGCCTCCCACAGACGCCCTGATCAGAGCCGGGGGTTGAAGAACAACAGAAGTACATGCCCTTGACTAGGAATCGAACCCATAATCATTCAGTCTGCGGGCCGACGCCCTAACCACTGAGCCAAATCGACCAGGGCATATCCCTATTTTAAACTGCCACACATGGGTATGAGACTGATCCATTCTGCAATTCTGTCCCGAGTCTGAACCCCTCCTACTAGTCTCCATGTGCTTCTTTAATTCCCCAGGTGTAGGACTTCCATTCAGCTGTTATGCCCAGATTTCAAGATCCCCCAAGACAGACCACCAGGGAGCTGAGTCCGATGCAAAAGCAGAGTCCTTTTATTCAAGCCCGGGCTTGGTCCCCCTCTGCCTCCATTACTGGATGTGAGAGAGCCCCAAGTCCCAAGAGAACAAAGAATTTATAGGGCTTGGGGAGAGGGGTGGAGGCACTTGGTCGAGTGAGGGCCAGGGGCTAGTTTCCCTTGCTTTCCCATTGGCTGAGATAAGGGCAGGCTGAGTAACTGATACATTCTGTGGCTTTCCTAGGAGAGGAGTTAGGGACATAGCTATCAGTTCTGTTCTGTTCTTTTACTATCAGTTCCGTTCTGTTCTTTTACTATCAGTTCCGTTCTGTCCCTTCACAGCTACATCTCAGGTGGTTCTGAATGATGGCTGTTCTACTGTGGTTGTGGGAGGCCGCGGGTCCCACGTTTACCTATGCCGCCATCTTGTGCGGAATTCTAAGAGAATAGATTTTAATTGTTCTCACCAGAAAAGAAAATGCTAAGAGATATATTAATTAACTTGGTTGTGGTAGTTGTTTCCTTATGTATAATATATATTAAATTATCTCACTGTGCGCCTTAAAAAACAAACACATTGTACAACCTAAACATACATAAATTTTGTCAATCAAGCCTCAGCAGCGCTGGGGGGATAGGGGGCGTGGATGCTGATTGTGCTCCACACAAGTGAGGAAATTTACACAATGGGGCTTGTTTACGAAGGCTGCAGAAGACCCCGACTGCCTTCCTGCTAAAACATTGCTGTAGGAGGCCTAAGAAATGTTACAAAGTGTTCCCCTCTTATTTTAAAGGGCCCAAGAGAAGTAGGGGCTATAAGTGCTCACAGTAGCCCAGTTCTTGGGGGACAAAAACCCTAAATACTGAAAATTGCTTTGGTTTAACCTAAATCCTACAAGCTGGAGGTATTTTTCTCCTATTGACTCTGCTTCTCACTGCCTACTGTGGTAAAGCTTCTTATTCCATGTGGCAAAGCCCCAGTGAAAACAGAAGTAAGATAGGTTAACAGCGTTCAGTTTATTATATATGTAGTAGCGAACACAGTGGTAGTCTCAAAGCTGGGTACCACACCTGGGTGCACCTCACACTTTCCACCATGAGTAAATTCTTAAATTCAAGAAGGCCAAATAACTTCAAGGTTAAGGTTAAGTGCACAAGCTCTGCAGTTTACTACCTGAGTCCAAATTCCAGCTTCACCACTACTGCATAACTGTGGGCAAGTTTCTTACCCTCTCTGGGCCCACTTTGCTTATTTAAAAATACAGGATAATGACAGACGGCATCTACCTCCTGGGGTTCTTATGAAAATTAAATGATATAATCCTTATAAAGCATTTACAGCCTTACATTTAGTAAATACTCAAGTAAAGGTAGTACTGTTTTCATTTGGCAAACCCATGTAAGTTTTCATATTCTATTGGGTTAGCAAATAAAGGTGGTCGAAACTGGAATATACTAGGTCCTTATACAAATTGCTATCCATACTCTTTATGCTAGCATTGGTTTCCATTTGCAACATACCAGTTATGAAATAGAAACTTCCTAGTCATTACTTCTAAAATAGTGCTTCAAAAATTTTTATATTACTTTGAGAATCAGTGGCCTAAGCTATATATATCTTATTTGGTATTATGCCTTCAACTCACCTTGCAAACCTAGTGAACCTGTTTTCCTATTCCTCCTTCCACATCTACATTTCCTCTTCTTTTCCCTAGCATCAGCATCACCTGGGAACTTGGTTTTTAAAATTTTATTTTATTTCCATAGTGACCTGGTGCACGGATTCATGCACATTGAAAGGAAATTAATTAGAAGGTAGCCAGTGGGGCGGGACTGGGTGAGATGGGCCAGACACACCCTGGAGCCAACCTCCCACAGTCCTTCCCTGGGGGAGTGCTGTGGCTTGGAGGGCATCTGTGGAGTGAGCTCGGTTCCTTGGGCAGGTGGGGTCCCTCAACCTGGCCTGCAGGGATCTGGCCAAAACCGGCTCTCTGACATCCCAAGGGGTCCTGAAGTGCGAGGAATCAGGCTCCCTCCTCTCTGGTTCCGGGGTGCATCACCTGAGAACACTGCTGCCAAGTCATGGTAGCTCACCAGCTCCTGCGTTGAACGTCTGCCCCCTGGTGGTCAGTGTGTCATACCTACTGACCAGTCAGACGGTTGCTTAGCTTTTTATATATATTTAATCCCTTCTATTCCCTTTTCTACCTCCACCCCATCCCCCACAATCACCACACTGTTGTCTATACCCATGAGTTCTTTTTTGCTCAATCCCTCCACCCTCCCCAACATGCCCCTACACACACATACCAGAGCTGTCTGCTTGCTTTCTATCTATGAATCTGTCTCCCAGTGATTCCACTTCTGGAAATTTATCTGAAGAAACACAAAACACTAATTTAAAAGAATATATGTACCCCTATGTTCTTTGCAGTGTTCTTTACAATAGCCAAGATTTGGAAGAAGTTCAAGTGTCTATCAGTAGATGAGTGGATAAAAAAGTTGTGGTACATTTACACAATGGACTACTCCTCTGCCTGAAAAAGCAAGAAAATTTTACCCTTTGTGATAGCATGGATGGACCTGAAGAATATTATTCTAAGCAAAATAAACCAATGACAAATACCATATGATCTCACTTATATGTGAAATTTAATGAACAGACTGATCTCTGGTTTGATTTCTTCTGTCCTTTTTTGTGTACATGCCTTCACTGTGCACTTGTTTACTTCAGTTTCTAAGTGACTCCACCTTAAAATATATTTTTGTCTTCAGTAACAAAGAAGACTGGTTGGTCATTACCATAAGAAGGATTATGTTGAATCATGTTATTTTGCTAACCTTTCATCCTTTTATAGATCCAAGTTATAACTAGAATCTGAGCAAGTTGAATCAAGAGCAAATAGAATAATGATATACCTTTGTGTTTTTTTTCATGCTCATCAAATTTAATGTCTATATCTACATCTATCTATCCAACTTCTAAAAAAATGGTTTCAGTAGCTCCTTCAAATACCACCCCAGGTATTGAGGATAATGAGTCATGCCAAATCACGACTCCTATTAGTCATAGAACAGATCCCCGGTTCATTTACTCTTTTCATTTTCCTAAGTGTTAATAGGATAAAAAAAAGTCTGGAACATCTACTTAAAAAACTCTCCTTCTCCAGAAGATTAATACAATTGTTGATCAAATTAGTCCCATGCGGTTCTTTTAAGACTTGAGGTTGTTAATCTAAATAATGTAAGCTACCAAAACCACATGTACTTTGCTGTTCAGTGAAAACTCTCTCTCTCAACTGGGGATAATAAGATAAGAAAAGGTGTTCTGGCGGTCTGGAAGAAGTATCTTCAGAACAAAGAGACGAGAAATGAGATGAGTCTACTGTGCTGTAGACTCCCTAAATGCATTGTGTTGTTATCGTTTATCTATGGAAACTGTAAAAGTTAGGGCTTTGAGTAATTCTAGTATGTGTTGTCAAGCTCCATTTCTCCCAGTTCACAATGCTTCATGTTTTCTTTAGGAAATGAAGTCAAATATAATAATGCTACTTGACTAGCATAATGAAGGCATATCCCATTAGGTATAACAGAATATATAAAATTCACCATTTCTGGACCTCAAAGAAAGAAGTTACATTTCACAAATCCTATTATTTCTCCTCAACTTTTTATTCATTCCTTCTCCAGTTACATCATGGAACAGGTTTTCAACACACCTCAGGCCTAGATTACTACCAGAGCTTCCCCAACTGCCATCTGTCAGCCCACATAGTCTAGGTTAATTTTCTTCCAAAATTCCTTTCATGTAATTCCCCTCCTTAAAAACCTACAATGGTTTCCTATTTCCTAACACATTACATCTAAACTCTTCTGCCTAGATTTAAGGCTATAATCAGGCTCCATCCTTTGCACCCAACTTTATTTTGTACTATTTCTCAGTAAGAAATAGGTTCCCTTTCCCTAGACTAACTGTGAAATTAACTTGCTCTTCCTTAGGAAAAACTTAAATAAACAAGAAAGAAAAACAGACACTGAAATCCCTAACAGCAAGTTTATTTGTAACTGGAGTTAAGGATTATTTTAATGCATGCTGAGAAACAGTAATACTCCAAACTTCTAGGTTACTATCTTATAGGAAATACAAGACAATGTTAGAAGAGGCTTTGGCACACACAACTACTGGAATATGACTATCAGAAAACACTATTAAAACCTTATTATCAGAACACTCACATATTACCTACTTTTATGTCAGATCAGCTTCATGGACAGCTCATCTTCTAATTTCTCACTGGCTATTTGAGTAAATAGCATTCAAGGTTAAACATTAAGACTGGGCAGTAGGGAAGAAATACAGTAGTGGTAAGCATCACAACATTTCAGAGTCTACATATACTAATACAACAGTAAGATTAAGAAACAGTATTTCGATTTCTTTTCTGAAACAACATTTGGCAATGCTTAGCGCATAAGAAGACACTGCTTTGGTCCATCCACTCATTCCAGCTTTTCAAAGTGTTTCCTGGCATTGCGGATGTTGATCAGAGTAGCTGCAGAAGCTGTGGGTAGGGGTAGGGAAGATACACAACAAAATAAGTACAGGCAGTCAAAGGAATGTCTATTAAAAACAAATCAACAAACAAAAGAGAGCCAAATCCAACATAGTAGGACATAGACAATATATAAGATAATGAGGCCCCAAGTTAAGCACAGTTTAGTTTTTCTGAAAAAGTATATGTGTTTATATTATAAACACAAACTTTCCAACATAAACTATATCAACATTTTTTATTTGGGGGCTAATACTATAAAACCTACTAGCCTATATTATATTATATATTTTAAATATGTTTTTATTGATATCAGAGAGAGGAAGGGAGAGGGCGAGAGAAATAGAAACATCAATGATGAGAGAGAATTATAGATCAGCTGCCACTCACTGGAGATTGAGCCCGTAACCCGGGCATGAGCCCTGACCAGGAATCAAACCCTGATCTCTTGGTTCATAGGTTGAGCTCAACCACTGAGCCACACCATCCAGACTTATGTTACATTTTAATATTAAACTAAGGTAGAAAAAACCAGTGGATCAGAGATAACTTAAACTTTTGGGAACATCCTGAAAATACTGCTAGAACCTTTATTTTAATGGTTGAGATGTATCTGGCTATTATGGTATGGAAGCACCAAATATCTCCTTTTATGCCCATAACACAAATATGGGAATATGCTACTTAAAAATATATAATGACATATAAAACGGTCAATGTTTAATAGTTCAGAGCTAAGACTGACCAGTCTTTTAAAAATCTAGCCCGGCCAGTGTGGCTCAGTGGTTGAGTGTCAACCTATGAACCAGGTCACAGTTTGATTCCTGGTCAGGGCACAGGCCCGGGTTGCGGGCTCAGTTCCCGGCAGGGAGTGAGCAGGAGGCAGCTGATCAATGATTCTCTCATCATTAATGGTTCTAACTCTCTCTCCCTCTCCCTTCCCTCTGAAATCAATAAAAATGTATTTTTAAAAAAATCTATACTATATATCATACATCTGGGTTCTCCTTTCTTGAAAATCCCGATTTAGTAATTTGATCTTTGAAGTTCCCAAGAACAAAACATAATACCCTAGAGCAGTGATGGCAAACCTATGACATGTGTGTCAGGTGACAAGCGAACCCATTTTTTGGGTTGATTTTTCTTTGTTAAATGGCATTTAAATATATAAAATAAATATCAAAAATATAAGTCTTTGTTTTACTATGGTTGCAAATATCAAAAAATTTCTGTATGTGACACAGCACCAGAGTTAAGTTAGGGTTTTTCAAAATGCTGACACGCTGAGCTCAAAAGGTTCGCCATCACTGCCCTAAAGCCTAAATTATTTTTAAGCTTCAAAATATACATTTATTAAATAGAAAAAATATTTATTACTAGTACTAAGATAGTTTTTTTTGTGATAAAACATACATAACAAGAAATTTAGCCCTGGCCATGTGGTTCAGTTAGCTGGACATCAACCCTGCACCAAAAGGTTGCCAATTCAATTCCCAGTTAGGGCACATGCCTAGGTTCTGGACTTGATCCCCAGTAGGGTGTGTGAAGGAGGCAGCGGATCGATGTTTCTCTCACATCAATGTTTCTCTCTCCCCTCCTCTCTAAAAAAATCCATAAAAAGTCTTTTAAAAATTTACCATTTTATCTATTTCTAAATGTACACAGGTCAGTGGCCTTAAGTATATTTACACTGTTGTGAAACCATCCTCACTCACTACAAAATAGTTTTTCAGTATCTAATAAAGTCCTACCTCTAGGGCAATGAGTTTAAAGAATATGTGGCTTTGAATCAATGTTAGCTAAGTTTCAACTTACGAATGGATGGATCAGACATCACAACCATCACATAAGTGTTGGATGTAAAGATATCAATGAAAGCAGCAAAGTTAGAGTTCCTAACTTCCATGCTCTGGAAAGAAGCAGCCAGCTTGCTATAGGAGAGAAGAGAAAAGAGCAAAGAACATAAAATAATAGCAATATAAGAATTTTTATGTTTTAGGAAAACATTTTCATAGCATTATACCTCAACTGACTACTTCATTAAGACAGTTAATCACTAGCTCCACTTTGTTTTCCAAGGAAACTCTAATGCTCAATTGATCGTAGTTTGGAAAGTGACTTAGAAATAGAGTTAGGACTTGACATTGACTGTGAAATGAAAGTGGGTTTAGACTTAGATCCCTGTTAAAAATCATGTTATAAAAGATTTCTCTTTTATTTAAGAAGATTTTTAAAGTTGAAATTCCTCTATCACTAAGATTAACTTTTGAATTTTAGTTACATTGAAATTCAAGAAATGATCTCATCTCTTTGAAAACAAACAAGGTAATTACATTTGCATTTCATTCTGTATTTCTCCTTAAAAACATTAGCGTTAAACATGCCAAAAAGTCCCAAAGTGCCTTTTATGCTGAGGCATAAAAGGAATAAACTCATACCTATTCTACTGTCTGGGTATCAAAGTTTTACCAGGGTAAGAATTTTGATTCTTAAATATTTAATAAATTATGATGTTTAGCCATTGCATCAGCCTATATTCACAATGCTAAGACTCAAATTGTATTTAATCCAAGCTGAGGCAACACGATTAGACAATTCCAGACTCTATTTTGTACCATTCCTGAATCAGTACCTCCCTATTTTAATTACTGTAGTTTCACAGACAATCTTGGCACGTGGTGGGGTAAATTATCCTACTTTCTTCTTATTCAAAACTCTCTTGGACATTTTTTATTTCTCCCCAAAGAGAAGCAAACATCTCAAAAGGGTACTCTGCTTAGATATTTTTCATATGCTTCTTCTGTATCACTTGAGTTTACATGAAAGGACAATGAATTTCATTCACCTCAGTCACCTGTAGGTTCCCTTAGAGTTTAGCTTTCTTTTCAATTGAAGGAACTATTCTAGATATAGAAGTGTAGTCCACTATAGTTATTTGAACCTCACAAAATAACATTATTTTTTTCCAGAGGTAAATAGATCCCACAAGACCTCTTACCTGCAGCTCAGCTTAAACTGCTTAATAATGTTGCTGATTTTTTCAAATCTGTGGGCATCACGCTGCTCTTTACACTGATAGTGAGAAATCACCTATGAAAAAGAGTAATGCCCTTTAAATCCGTGCAATGTAGTCATATCACCCACTGTTATTCCTCTAGGCCAGCATCTGTCAGTCTCCTGATTTGGCACCTGGCTTACTGTTTCTTTTCCTCAGCCCCATATGCTGCCAACATTATGCAGAATTTCAACATCCCTATGGATGAACCATCCCATACAGTTTGGTTATAATTTTATTAGATCACCTAAGTATTATCTATTTTGATTTGTTGGTCTTTATCATTTATTTTAATCATTAAATGTTCATCTTATTTCAGTATTTCTCAGAATGGTCTTTGATTAAAAAAATAGAAATCAAAAAAGAAAAATATATAAAAATTCTTAGCTGTTCTTGAGGTACACTTAATGTATTTAATTTTAGTAAAGCCTATAACTAAGTGGCTTTTGGTATTATATTTAAAAATGTTAACTAAATGATTATAACCTCTGAGAATTGACTATTTATGAATTAACCTACTCAGGATGGACATCCACGCCAGCTGAGAATACTTTCTCTCACACTTACAGATTTTAATAAAACCTAGACGAGCATTTTCTATAGGCTGAATATACAGATGTAAAAATTTTCAGTAGGAAGCAAAACTGAGTCACTCACAAGAACCTATGAGATACTATTATCTCCATTTTAAGGAAAGGGAACCAAGCTCAGAGATTAAGAAATGTGTCTAAAATCACCAAGCATTGGTAATGCTCAGAAACAAATTATTTACTGTAAACTGCTCTTAAGAGTTACATTTACTGAGCTGATCAGCAATTACTTATGCAGTGCTTTGTGACATCTCAAATTCCTTTCTGCTACTGTTACTTAAAAATTTTACTTATATGCCCAGCTGGCGTGGCTCAGTGATTGAGTGTCGACCTATGAATCAGGAGGTCATGGTTCGATTCCCGGTCAGGGCATAGGCCCAATTTGTGGGCTTGATCCCCAACATGGGGCGTGCAGGAGGCAGCCAATCAGTGATTCTCTCTTATCACTGATGTTTCTGTTTCTCTCTCCCTTCCTCTCTGAAATCAATAAAAAAATAATTTCAAAAAAGTAAAATAAAAAATTTTACGTATAAATATATTGGTTTTTGTATTGCCTCTCAGGGCCGTACGCACAGTAGGCTCTAATATAGGTGGTAAGTTGAATTTATAACAAAAATTAAAATACCAAGATGCCTCTTTTCCCTTCTGCCTCTCCATGTGAACTCTTAGCTATGTCACCGAGTTGACCATTACATCTCTTCCATGTTAAAAGTTCTCAACTCAGTCTTTTGTTGAAAAGGGTGGGATGCGAGATTCCCCAAAAGGGAAATAACCCTCATCTATAATAAAAAAAACGTAATATGCTCATTAGACCAGATGCCCGACGAAGCCGGGGCTGCAAGGGCTGAGCCCCTTGCACGAACTTCATGCATCGGGCCTCTAATTTCATAATAAAATTCAATAGGAAACAGGGATACTTCAATACAAATGAGCAGTGATTTGCAGATATAATCTAAACCAGCCATTGGCAAACTACGGCCCGCGGGCCGGATCCGGCCCGTCTGAAATGAATAAAACAAAAAAAAAAAAAAAAAAGACGTACCCTTTTATGTAATGATGTTTACTTTAAATTTATATTAGTTCACACAAACACTCCATCCATGCTTTTGTTCCGGCCCTCCGGTCCAGTTTAAGAACCCATTGTGGCCCTCGAGTCAAAAAGTTTGCCCACCCCTGATCTAAACTCTGCATATCAGCGGTCACCAACTGGTGGCCCATGGACCACTGGTGGCCCAAGAGGTACGAAAGGTTGGCAACCATTGGTTTAAGGAAACCTTTGGAGCAGCAGTCGCCAACCACTGGTGGTCTGTGAGGTCCAAAAGGTTAGCGACCGCCACTTTAGATTATTCCTACAAAAATCTAAGTTTTTTTCTAACTACTGCAGAGTAACAAACCAAAGGATTTCTTTCAGGTCGCTTACTGACAATGCTACTATATACTAGTAAATAAGGCTGTGCATGTTGACTTAAACACAAGAGAGAAGAAGGTTCTTCCAGAAAGTAGCAACATGGTGTTCTCTGCTGTTGAATAAAAGAAGGTAAGTGTGAAGTAATATTTTCAGAGCAGAAGGTTCTCACCAGAAAAGTAGCTCTCTCAAATAGAAGCACTTCATCAGCCTCAATAATTTCAGCAAAATTCCTCAGGTTCATTTCTAGCTGCTGAACATTGGGAATCAGTTGATAAACAATGCTGGACCAAGCCTAACAGAACAGAAATGTGGTGGAATATTACTAACAGGCAGCCAGTTCCAGGTCTCTGCAAATGAGTAAGCACACTACGACACACGGACAGCAAAACACGGTGATAATTGAGTCCCAAATACTGATAACCAGTGACATAAAACAAATAAAATGAGAAAGCAAAGCTAACATTTGATATTTACCCTTCAGTTGGAGTTTTTTTTTAAATTTTCAAACACTTTTTTAAAATGCTGCAGAAACTTTTTCCTATTGATAATAAAAAATAACTTAATTCCATCATGTTATCTTCGGAAAAGTTGAAAACTCTGATCTCCTATTGCGCTATAAAGCTTCTACTCCTGTCATTCAGCAAATATTTAAATCCAGCGATGCAGACTATACTAAAAAATCAGAACCTAATGATGCTATTGTTAACATACACCTAAGTATCAGTTTTTTAAAAAATATCAGAGCCACAAAGACAAATGGCCCCTCCCCTCAATGGGATAACATACAAGATAAATTATAAGAGAAATTAGTGGTATCATTATTCCAAAAGGCTTATATTCAGCTGTATAAATTATTGAATTTAAAATGGTACACTGCGTGTTTGCCTAAAACTGACTTCATCTAGAGGCGTATGACTAATGAAAGGAGTTGAAATTAACCACACCTCCCTCTATTCTCTTATGGCTCTTTTATTTGAACCTCCATTAGAATATGTCCTTGAATCTTGCTCTAATTTGTCTGGCAAGATGTGTAATGTTCTTCTCCTCCACTAGAGGGCAGGAACCTGGTCTTAGTCATTTGTGCGTCCTACAGCATCAAGCAGGTATGTGATGAGTGCTTGCAGAATAAAACGGAATAGAAAAATGTAAGTTAGCTCTATGCGACATTTATGCAAGCGATAGTAGTGCCATGTCTCTGCTCCAATTAGTTTTATTACTTAGGCATGGGGTTTCAGGTTCCAAGTTCCCAGGTCGGTGTTAATGTCACTGCTGAATTTACCTTGGAGAAGACACCAAAGCTAACCACAGCAGAGACATTGTCACTCACAGCAGTGTTGTGATTAGCCAATTGTCTTTGGTCGTGTTATGTATTGCCATCCTTCACACCGCAGCTGGTTCTTATCAGTGCGTCATGTCCATCCTTATTCACGGTTACCTGTTCTATGGGAATAAGGCTTTGAGAGAAATTCGGCCCAAATTAATCTAGAACAGTATTTCCTAGACAGGTATCTCAAAAATGATCTGTTAATAGAGCGAGGCTGGGTCAACATAATATTGGGGGGAAAATGAATTAGTTAAAAAATAATAAAGCAATGGCTATATTTAAAGTCCACTGGGGTTTTTTTCTCCTTGGGAAATCAGGTTTCTGTGCTTCTGGTTGTAGATACTTGTCGGATGCAGTTGATACTGAGGCTGTAGCTACCAGGGACAGAGAAGGATGTCAAACTTGTCAACAGACACCAGAAGCAGTCTGAAGGAAAGGTCTGACCACAGGAGGGCGTCAAGGAGCCAATCTTTCAAATCGCTGGATGAGTAGGAGAAAGGGAGGAAGCAGGGTTAAGGAACCTATGTGCCAATAAGGTAATTTCAGCTTTACCCATAACACGGCTATTGTTGTAACCTCTACAACTACCGCAAACGGTGTGGTATCCATTCCAGCAGCCGGAACGATCTTTCTGGTTGAAAGAATGCTAGTCTCGCCCAGACGGCGTGGCTCAGTGGTTGAGCGTCAACCTATTAACTAGGAGGTCTGGGTTCGCTTCCCGGTCAGGGCACAAGCCCTGGTTGCGGGCTCGATCCCCAGCGTGGGGCGTGCAGGAGGCAGCTGATCCATGATTCTCTCTTATCATTGATGTTTCTCTCTCTCTCCCTCTCCCTTCCTCTCTGAAATCAATAAAAACACATTTAAGAAAAAAGAATGCTAGTCTTCATTTGGCATGAAAATGGACGCTATCAAATTCTAGGCAGACAGACATGTCTCATTCTAAGTCTCCCTTTGCCAATCTCTCCCTTAAATATTGTTCTTCTCCTGCCATCCAAACTTAGGCAGACTAGCACATATCCTGTAGAAGTACCCGAATAGTAGACATAGCTCCAATCAGCATTGAGACCACAGCAAGTCAAAATGGATGACAGCCAATGAAACCTTAGCTGTCATGAATATCAGTATCAAATTAATCATGACCAAACTGGCTAGCTAATTCAGTGTGGTTGGTAGGCATGTCTACCCAATCTAAGATCAAACCCAAAAGCTCTTAAGGTTAATTTTGATGTTTCAAACAATTTATTATAATTTCTTTTTCAGTTCAACATGTTTAGATGGCTATGAAAGAGTTTAAAATCTTTGTGATAATACCCTTCTTGCTTTTTTTTATGCTCTAACATGAGGGAACTCGGAGGAACATACACACCTTATAGAGAGTTTCATCCCAGATAGATGTCCGGAAGCAAGAACATTCCAGTGGGCGAGACAAACGCCTCAGATCTTCTTCTCGCTCTTTAAAAATCTGAATGAGAAAGTCCAACACACTGATCAGGATATATAGCTCTCCTCTTTCTTTGCAAAAGCTGAGATATAATTATTTCTGCATATTTAAACAGAAAGCATTTCCTCAGAGGGATTTTTCAATGTGTACAGTACTTCAGAGACATCCTGGCAGAAATGTTTTCAGGTCAGGTCTAAAAGTGACCCTACCTGGTTAATTTTATGTATTCATTTGGCTAGGCCATGGTACCCAGACCTTTGGTCAAAGATCAGTTTAGATGTTGCCGTGAAGGTATGATGAGATTAATAATTAAATCAGTAGACTTAAAGCAGATTCCCCTCCATGATGTGGGTGGGCTTGATGCAATCAGTTGAAGGCCTTAAGAGGGAATCCTGCCTCTAGGCTGCCTTCTGACTCAAGCAACATCTACTCTTTAACCTATAGGCCTGCCTGAAGACTGCAGACTTGCCAGTCTCTACAATTGTATGAGTTAATGCCTTAAAATCCATCAGTCAACCTCTACCCCTTCCCTCTATTATATCTATCTACACACACACACACACACACACACACAAACACACACATTTATTATTGGTTCTGTTTCTTTAAGGTTCCCTCACTAATACATGAGAGAAACATCCATCTTACTTGAAATTGGTACTTAGGGAGGCACCCTAGCCATTTTTACTTCTAAATTTCCAAGTCTGACTGAATCTTTAATGAAACAGAATATAACTTTCTTAATTAAGTTTCAAATCCCACAAACAACAACAATGTATCTTTGGAGATATCTATATAAGCATTCAGAAAACAGTAAGTTGCCCTAGCTGGTTTGGCTCAGCGGATAGTGTCAGCCAGCAGACTGAAGGGTCCCTGGTTGGGTCCCAGTCAAGGGCCTGGAGAGAAGGGAATAAAAAGATTAGATACTCAAAGTAGTTCTCAAAATAAAATATGGAACTCTGTCTAATGTTTTTTGAAAGCCTATAAGTTAACCTAGAAACACCAAAACATACCCCAAAACTAGAACACTGGAGGCAATCATATAACTAGTTATAGGAAAAAAAGTATTCCCGACCACAGCTATTATAAAAAAAAATCATTTAGTTAAATAAAAGGTATCCTTAGACTCCTAGGCTCCAACCCAAGGAGGGACTGTATTCTGTACCAATGACATATTCTAAAACTTTCCTCAGGTTCATCCTTGGAAACAGATCTTTTCTTTCAGCTTAGACTTTAAAATCCAATCCTCTTATTTTATACTAGAGTTCCAGTGCACGAATTCATGCACAGGTGGGGTCAGGTCAGCCCGCCCCGGCCGGAGGAGAGGGGGGAGGGAAGAAAGGGTCACAGGCAGTTGGCCGGCCAGCCCCGACCCCTGGTCGAACTCCCGGTCAAGGGGACATTTTGCATATTAGCCTTTTATTATATAGGATTGGACAAACTAAAGCTAGACTATATTCGTGATGTGCCAATCTTGGGCGGGGGTTGGGGGGAGGGCGCATCTCATAGCTAGCTGGGAGTTTTCCCTTTCTACTGTGTGGCTTCTGGTTTAAATTTATGTGTACTAATAATCCCCACACTAGAAAAGAAGAGAAACATACCATATCAGTGCAATTAAGGGACTTAGCATTGTGCCTAACAAGTATGACTGGCGCTTGAACAGATGCCTATCAGTTTCCTAAGTCAACCTAATGACAGTTGTAATCTTTCATTTCACCCCTGGTGAGTCTTCTAGCCTTGAGAGTAACTGTCTGCTCTGAGGACAGTAAACAGGGGCAGCATGCATATTTTATAAATATATAAACTGTAATGCAGCTTCATTCTTTTGCATGTGGCTTCCCAGTTTTCCCAGCACCATTTATTGAAGAGACTATCTTTACTCCACTGTGTGTTTCTGGCTCCTTTGTCTCAAATTATCTGTCCATATACATGTGGTTTTATAGCTGGGCTCTCTATTCTGTTCCATTGATCTGTGTCTGTTTCTCCTCCAATACCATGCTGGGGAATTTTGTTTGTTTGATTTTTTAAAAATTTTATTTCAGAGAGGAAGAGAGAGAGAGATAGAAACGTCACTGATGAGAGAGAATCATTGATCAGCTGCCTCCTACATGCCCCCTCACTGGGGATTGAGCCCGCAACCCAGGCATCAAACGGTGACCTCCTGGTTCATAGGTAGACACTCAACCACTGATCCATGCCGGCTGGGCAATACCATGCTGTTTTGATTATCATAGCTCTGAGGTATAATTTGAAGTGAGGTAGTATTATACCTCAAGCTTCCTTCTTTTTTCTTAGGAAAAAGCTAAGAACCATATAATTTCACTTATATGTGGGATATAAAACTGTAACTCCTAAACACAAACAGAAGTGTGTTGGTTGCCAGAGAGAAGAGGGTGGAGCATGAAAAGTGTCCTAATATATGGTGACTGGAGAAGATTTGACTTTGGGTGGTGGGCACACAGGGCAATATACAGATCCTATAACATAGAAACCCACACCTGAAACCTATATGACCATATTAACCAGTGTCACCCCAATAAATTTAATTTTAAAAAGGGATAGAAAAAAGAGAAAAAATATAAAAAGGCTGTTTAGTGATATTACATGGTCAGGTTCCTTACCTAAATCTGAACGTTATTTATTAAATGAATACTATTCCCTTACCAGGGACAATTTGTTTATGAGTGCTTAAAAAAAAACAAATGCCCTAGC